CGGATATGGATGCACGCACGCCTCGCATTGGTCGGCCACACCTGAGGGTGACCCTTCGCCAGAGTGACTTTGGATGCGGTCTCAGCGGGGTCCCTTCCCAGTGCCCCTCCAGTGCTGGCTTGCGCGCTTGGATTTGCTTGCATTTTGGTCCACCGTGGCCTCCCTGAAGCCGCGCACCAAAGGTCACTCTTGCCCAGGGTCGCTCTTACGTGTCGGCGACTTTTCAGTGGCAACGTCAGGAAGAGATACACCTTAGGCGATGCTTAAGAAAACTTAAGTTTTCGGCCAGAGTCTCGATTATTCTTAACGTTTCAATGTAAATCCTAAGATTTTGATAGAATTGTGTGGTTTTTATTCAAGTTCTGAGACCATGAATTTCTTAACCCATGATTTCTTAACCATTTCGCGTGGTGTAGGCTCGACGTTCGAGGTGTTCCGACGTTCCCCTCGGTTCTCTGCGGCTCTCCAGCCTCGGGATGCTTTCCAGCAGCTGCGCCTCGCCGAGAGCGTTCGGGGGTGCCCGGATCGTCCCGAGCGGCAGCCAGAGCCCCGAGGCATGACCCAAGAACCCTTTGGCATCGCTCGGAGGTGCGCACTCTTGTCGGCAAGGATCCCTGAGGGGCATATCTGCTCACCCTGCGGAAGCATACGCGCACGAGGCCGAAAAACGCGCAGGGAGTGGACGTCCGAGCGGTGGCGAGACCAAGGGGGCAACGACAGGATGGGGTTAGGCCCATGGGGGGGGGGGCTTTGTGGGCCCCGGAGACGGCAGGGCCGTTTTTCCACCGTTTCTAAAAAATGCCCCTTGAAAAATGGAAACGGCAAAAAAACGGCGACCGGACACGGCAACAAAAACACAGCTCCAGGATGGGAGCCGGAGCTGGAACCGGCCCAAGCAACGGCGACGGAACCGGTAAAAGCACGGCGTCGGCACCGGCAACAAAAATGACAGAACGGAGCCAGTAAAAAAACGCGGCGTCGGCACCGGCGAGAAAATCGCAGACCGGAGCCGGTAACAAAAGCGGCCCTGGCGTTTCCAGGGCCCGCTTAAGTCAGGAGGGGAAAAAACACACAGACACAATTAATCGGCGATTCCCAGAAAATATGGGAAAATATGGGAAGTGGGGGGAAGACAGAAACCCAGAAAATATGGGAAAATATGGGGAGCATGTTTATTTGTGTGTATTTATTTGTGTGTCCCAGTTTCCCTTCATTCAGGGGGGGGGGCCTCGGCCCCCCGGCGCCCGTGCGTCGCCGATTTATGGGGGCGTGAGTGCCCACGGCGCCCCCCAGGAGCGTGCGGTTTCGGCACCGAGGAGGGCCTGTGGACGCTCGGTCCGCCACGCGGCGGCGAGCGGGGGGGGGAACCGAGAGGGAGTCGGGGGGGGACAGGCCTCCCACCCTGACGCGTCGATTCGTGAACTGTCCTTCTTCGGTTCTCGAGAGGGCGCCGCGGCCGTTGTTTTCCAGGCTTGCGCCCGCCAGGTTTGGGCCCGAGGTCGTTTTCACCAAACCACGTTTTACTAAAGGGAGGTCTGTCCATCCCCGAAGGAGAAGGCATTCTCAGAATGCGGCGGGACTTCTCAGAAGCCCCCGCGCCTTCCGAGAAGTTTGTTCTGTCTCCGGGGAAAAAAGGTTTGGACAACTTCTCGGAAGGCCAGGGGGCTTCCGAACCTTCTGAGAAGGCCTTCTCCTTCTCACTTCTCCCCTCTCGCTCGCCGTCGAGCTACAGACGTACAGCAGGAGCTCGACCACACGGAACCTTCCACAAGAAACCCGACCTTGAGACCCCACACCGTCCATCGATTCTTGGTGTGGGAGCGTCACGCTTTCCATAGCAAAGCCATCGAAGCCCAAGAAACCCAGGGCGCCCTGGAGGCAAGCAGGGTGTTTCTGGGCATGGGTTCCCACTGTAACCGAAGGATACCCTTGCATCCTTGCCTCCTCGGTCCATCCCTGGCCACCTTCGCTGGCCGCGCCCCGCTCGAAAGGTGTCGTCGGCATGGCCTTCCAGAGCCCCTTGCACCCTCATCGTGCATCTGCACCATTCGTCTTAAGTCGGGCATGCCCCTCTGCAGGAGGAATATTCAAACATAGTTTTTTTTTCAAAAAAGAGTACGGTGACTACGTTTCGACTATTTTTGATTATTTTGGAACATTGTTTGACTGCTGTTTACTGTCTTCCAAGATCCCCCTGCAGGAGGACATGCCTGACCTAGCACTAGTCTTGACGGTATGTGTCACCGATTCCAGGTCGGCGCTTCCCACCCCGATCCAGCTCCCACCCCAGCAGCCCCCCCTCAACCTCTGCCAGGACGCCTCGCCATGTGACTCTGCCCGGCCCCCTTCTTGGGAGTGAGAAGGGCGCGGGGGAGCTTCCTTCGGGAGCACGAGAGGGGGGCGCCTCGGGAGCATCTGCGGCGGCTGGAGGAAGGCCGCCGGAAGATTCCGAGGGGCATCCGGGAGGCATCCCGCAGGGTCCAAGAGCTTCTAGCGGCTTCAAAGGTCTGCAGGCTGGCCCCGAGCTGAGGATGCAGCTCCTGGGAGGTTGAGTTCTTCACGCTTCGCGCATGCCCCACCTCAGCTCGTTCAGAACTCCTGCCCACGAGAGCAGCCGGGGAAAGGGACGAAGAGCCACATGCAGTGAAACAGAGCTCGACGGATCCCTCGAGAATGGGACGAGGGGGGGAGGAGGAGGAGGAGGAGGAGGAGGAGGAGGAGGAGGAGGAGGAGGAGGAGGAGGAGGCAAACCGCCTCTTTGGGCCCTCCTTGGATGCTCTTGGGGCGTTCTTGGGCGCTCTTGGGGCCGCCCTGGGGCTCTCTTGGGAGTCCTGGCAGCCCTGGAGCGCCTCTTGAGGCCATCTTGGAGGCTATCAATCAAAGGAGAGGGTGATCCCAATGTGTGCCCCCCCCCCCCGGGGGCCATCAGCATCACCTCTTGGGGCCCTTTTGGGGCGCTCTGGGGAAGCTCTTGGGACATCTTGGGGCCGTCTGTGGGCCTCTTGGGCCCCTCTCGGCCTCCCTTGGGCCACCTTGGGGCCATCTTGAGGGCTCAGAGGCGCATCGGAAACGGAAAGGCGAGAAGTCAAACGTCATTGATTTTCCATCGGTGCTTGAAGGATGCTGGCCTCTTGGGGGGGTCCTGAGGGGCTCCGAGAGCACTTGGAACCGTCTTGTGGCCCTCGTCGGGCCTCTTGGAGGTATGTCGGAAGCTATCTTGAACCATCTTCGATTATTTTGAGCCGCCTTCGAGGCCATCTTGGAGCATCTGAGGCTATCTTGTAGCCATCTTGGGCGCTCTAACCCCTCCGTCCAACTAGCCAAGGACGGGGGGTAACTGGCAACTCCCCCCGAAGGAAAGAGGGTTTTCTGGAAGAGGAAAATTCGTAAAGATACCGCTAGATCGCCCTAGCCCAAAGGGCCGCTTGAGTTATCATATACATACATACAATGTGTATATATATATATATATGTATATATATACGTGGTCAGAAGCCGGCCCAATCGCGCATAATCCCGCCAAGTTTCGTGTAATCCCGTCTGATCCAGCCTAATCCTGATCAACGACCCCTTGACCGGGCCTGATGTGCGCCACTCGTTCTCACGAAGCCCTGATGACTTCTGGGTGTACACTGGTCCTCCTCCTCCTCCTCCTCCTCCTCCTCCTCCTCCTCCTCCTCCTCCTCCTCCTCCTCCCATTCTTCCCCTCCTCCTCCGTTCGCCTCCATCGCGCTTCCAGGAGTCGCCTCCCCACAGGGAGCCTTCGGGGTCGTCTCCGTGTCGTCTCCGTCGCGTGCGGCACGCATGCCCGTGGCCGCGGCCTCGCGAGCCCGGCCCTTGGACCGCCCCCCCCCTTGGCTTGCGGCTGCCCCCGCGCGGAACGTACTCGTGCGACCACGCATCCGTGATTGATGGGCTGGTTGTCTACCACCGCCACCACCATACGTTGGCGGGGGGAAGGAAGCGGAGGATGAGGAGGAGGACGAAGGGGAGGAGGAGGAGGAGGAGGAGGAGGAGGAGGAGGAGGAGGAGGAGGAGCGAAGGGGAGGAGGAGAAGAAGGAGGAGAGGAGGACGAGGAGAAGGGGAGGGGGAGGAGGAGAAGGTGAGGGATGGGAGGAGGAGGAGGAGGAGGAGGAGGAGAGGAGGAGGAGGAGGAAGGAGGAGGAGGAGGTGGTAGGGGGGGGAGGAGAGGAGGAGGAGGAGGAGGAGGAGGAGGGAGGAGGAGGAGGAGAACAAAGAGGAGGAGGAGGAGGAGAAGGAGGAGGAGGAGGAGGACGTCCTCCCCCTCCTGCTTCTGGTGGTGGCGGTGGAAAACGAGCCCACCAGTGAGATCGGAATCCAGACCGCGAGGGCGCTTCTGGAAGACTTCTGTCGCAGCGGGAGAGTGCGACCTCGTTCGTGTTCCTGCGGCCCCGCGGTGGAAGTGGTGATCCAGTCCGAGGCCGCCTCGTGAGCTTCACCAGAGAGCCTCCATGGGCATCCAGGCACTTCTTCCAGGGCTTCGTGAGGCGTCCCAACGAGGTCTCAACAGATCCCTAACCCTACGACTAGCATCACCTTGCTTCACTATCGATCTTGAGGGTTCCCTCAGTTTCTGAGGGCGCATCCCTGAGATTATCATCGCAGTGGGCTTGTAAATATGAAGGACGGGATGAGCTCGAGGCTAGTTATAAGTGGACCCGAGACCCTGCAAGCCCAATGTGTCCAGCAGTGCGGCTCCAACCCTTGCCGAGGGCCTTACGAGTTCACCAAGAGACCCTTCATGAGCCTTCCGGGCGCCCCTGGAGTCTGCAGGAGCCTCCAGGGGCTTGCAGTGAGCCTCCACGAGGCCTCCCCATGAGAGGGGTCGCACGGAGGCACTAACGAGGTCCTGGCGACTCACCGCCATGCTGTCTGGGTACCTTGACGCACGCACCTTGGATCTGCAGTCGAGCCCTTGCGCGACGCGACGCGACGTTCTCCCCCTGGCCGTTCAGACATCGTCCGCGCGCTGCGGCAGGCGACGGTGCAGGACCTCATCCTCGGTCTTCACGGCAAGGAGACCCCAGTCGCCTCCCGCCGCTTTCCGACGGGGCGTCCCAAGAGGGGGTGATCGGGCGAGGCTTGGACAAGGATAAGTCGCTCCAAAGCAGCATCCCAGAACTCTCTCAGAGCGATCAAAAGCGTTCTGGAACGGCCGCGGCGCCCGATACATCCCCCAGAACCACCAGATATCAGAAGTTCCCGATGCATCCCGGTCCGATTGTTTGTCCCTGTCCCGTTCACTTCTCAGGCGAGGCTTGGTTGGGTTGATGACGTCATGGACAGGGCCGTCGGAGGAGGAGGAGAAGGAGGAGGAGGAGGGGAAGATTGCTTGCCCCCCTGCTCTTCTTCCAGCACGTACGTCCCCTGCCCCCCCCCCCCGCGACCGCGCACTTGCCTCGGGCCACGAGCTGACCCCTCGGCTTTCGTGGCCCCCACTCGTCAGCGCACCCTCGCGCGGGACCTAGGACGAAGAGGCACGTCGGTCGCTGGAAGGGGGTGGTCGGGCAGAGCCTGTACAAGAATAGGTCGCTCCAGAGAATCCCACAAGGCTCTCCCAGAGCGTTCGAGGGCGTTCTGGAGCGGCCGCGGCGCCCGATTCGTCCCCCAGGACCACCAGATGCCGGGGATCCCCGATGCATCCTGGTCCGATGTTGTCCCTGTCCCGCTTCATCTCAGGCGAGGATCGGTCGAAGAAGAAAAACGCAATAGACATAATCTTGTTGTGCTCCGCGCGGATTTCTTGGATCCGCGCTGGGCGACCCCAGGCGGCGCCTCCGGCGCCGCCCCTGGCGCGCTCTGCGCGCCAGGGAGGGGGGGGGGTCCGGCGCAGATCCAAGAAATCCGCGCGGAGCGCCAAGAGTTTTGTTTATGGGTTTTTGTTTATTTTCCTATTTTGGATTCCCAGTTTCCACTCGACTCTCGGCGCCTTCCTACTTCAAGGATGGAGTAGTTTCCCGTTTTCCCTCATCTTCAGGGGTTGTAAGCCCAATCTACGTCCACCGCCTTCATACTTCATATTTTCACCTACTTCTTCCGACCGATGTGGCAGTCCGTTCCAGATCGTTCCAGAACGCTCTCAGAGCGGCCCAGATCGTTCTGAGAAGGTTGCGGCGCTTGAGACATCCTCCAGAGCCGCCGGATCCGAGAGGTTCCAGATTGATCTTACCCGAATTTGTCCTCGTCCTCGCTTCGCCTTACCGAAGGAAGTATCTTGACCGCCATGCGTTATGATGCAGCCACGCGCAGAGGGTTGTAGGGGGAGGGGGGAAGCCTTCTTAGATCTTAGAAACACCCCTGCCTCTTAGAGGGCGCGGGCCCTCTCTGTAGGTGTAAGGCCCGCGCCTTCTAGGAAGCAACTCAGGAGGGAAAGAAACATACAGACACAATTGATCGTCGACTCCCAGGAAAATATGGGAAAATATGGGAAGTGGGGGGAAGACAAAAACCCAGAAAGTATGAGAAAATGTGGGGAATATTTTATTTGTGTGTATTCATGTGTGTGTCCTGGGGCCCCTTCAGCAACCTCCTTCTAAGAGGCCTTCCCCCCCCCTCCCCCCCCCCCCCTCCGGCGCGCCGCCAAATGCTGCACATCGCCTCGTGGGGGGCACGTGCGGGCGCCTGGCAGCGCTCGGACGTGTGCATTTTTCCTTCGGCGAGGACCATCGAGGAGCATCCTTCATCATTTGGCGAAAAAACCACGCACGAAACCGAAAAAAACACATGGAATGGACGTCCGAGCGATGGCCAGGTGACTGCTGTGGCCCTCGCCTCGTTCGTCTTCTGGGCCCTCGAGTTCGGTCCCCCCCCCCCCGGCTCGCCTCCGTGCCGAGCGCTCGGGAGCCAGCGCTGGGCAGCATAGCCAACGTGCAAAAGAAGAGCACCGCGGTTGGTGGCGCAGCACCTTCACGAAACACGGCGCTCGTGTGCGCCTGCTCTTCGGTTCTTCCGCCCCCCTCGCCTTGCAGCAGCTCCTCCTCCTCCTCCTCCTCCTCCTCCTCCTCCTCCTCCTCCTCCTCCTCCTCCTCCTCCTCGTACTCGTCCTCGTCTGCCAATCTCCACGGGCGCCTTTTGGGGTGTTTCTCGGAGGCGCCTCGGAGTCTGGGATGCGTTGGGGGCCTCTTGGGAGCAACAAGACAAGTCGCAGGTAATTTTTGGGTTCTGGCACGTTGGAGGGTGCAGGGCTGGACCTGCTCGAGGGATCGGCACAGGGGGTCTGTGAAAAACCTGTGAGTCAGCGGCCTGTGATCGTTTTTTGTTCATTGTTTTGCCGATCGGCGCGGGCCCTCGCACCCCCCACTCCCCCCCCCACCCGTGGAGTAGATCTGGGCTGTTTGGGGCGCCTGTTTCGAGCAGGTGGGGCCTCCCCCAGAGGAAGCACTGCTGCAAACAGTCGCACTGAGCAGAGGTTCGGAGCCAGACCCCCCCCCTCCTTCCCCCTTCCGCCCAATGTCGAAACGCCGAATAAGAAACGCTCACCGTGAAGGGGTGATGGGGTGCTACACTGACAGGCTGTGTGTTCATATTACGCGGCCGCTATTGATACCACTGCGGCCTTGTGATTCGCCAGATGCAGGTAGTCAGCGGAGCCGCTGCGTGTACACCGACAGGTGAACATGTACACTCCTCAGTCGACCGTGCTGGCCCACCCCCGCTCCCCTCTGTCCATCCCCTTCTACCTCGGCCTCCCTTGTCGTCCCATCGGCAAATGGACCCCGCGTGCGCGCTGCTCTCCTTGCCTTCCCCTTCTGACTCCACAGCTGGCGGCAGGACGCAACCACTTTCAAAAACCTGATCGACAGCGGGGGCGACTATCACAATCTGTACAAGCTGATTTTCTTCGACATCTCGTCAACGCAGATCCGCCGTCAGATCAGACTACACCTGGCCAGGGAAGGCGAGCATCTGCGGGCGCGAGGCGGTGGCAAGTCGGGCGCTGTCGGGATCAAGATCTTGAGCGACGTGGACGACACGTTGCATTGCAGCGGCGGCAAATGGCCTGCCGGTTGCGATACCAGCTTGCCCAAGCACACGGTGTACCCTGGGTCGTTGGAATTCTACAGGTCGCTGGACTCGAGCTACGACCCCAAAGAGCCCAGCTGCAGCCTCATCTTCATGTCCGCCCGGCCGCACTTCTACAAGTCTGCCCTCGAGGACCACAGCTACCACCGCTTCAAGGCGCTCGTGGAGGAGGACCGCATGCACGCCATGCCCACCCTGCTCGCCGGGGAGCTGTGGCGCAGCGTCTGGGCCGCCGTGATGCAGCCCTGCCGCAAGACGGCGGCCTGGCGGCGCGTGGGCCGCTTCAAGCACCGGACCTTCCGCAACTTCGCCCAGCTGTACCCCGAGTACGACTACGTCTTCTGCGGCGATGACGGGCAGGGCGACCTCCTGGCCGGGCAGATGATGGTCTGCAGGGGCTTCTGCGGGAGGGGGCGATGGGCCAACTCGGCGGCGGGCGAGGGGGGGGAGAAGGCCTTCTCGGGAGGCGGCGGGGCTTCTCGGGAGCCCTCGCGCCTTCTGAGAGGTCTACCTGCGTCTTCGGGGAAGGCTCGGAACACTTCTCGCAGAAGGCCGGGGGGGACTTCCGAGCCTTCCGAGAAGGCCCGCCCCTTCTCTCGGGCCGAGCGAAAGGGGGGGATTGGGAAAGGGTGGGTTACGAAATCTGCTGCGTGCAGCTGGTTTCTGCCCCCCCGAGGCGTCCACCCCTCGATGCATGAGCCGCCTCCGGCGCCGGGAGGCGCCGGGAAAATCAGCCACGTGAGCTGATTCTCACCCCCCCCCTTTGCTATCCCCCCCTTTCGCCCGACCCGATTCTCGCTTCCCTCCCCGGCTCGCCGCCGACCACTGGGGGGAGGGCGGGGGGGGCCATCGACCTCCTGAGATCGCCCACGCCTCGCCCCCTCGCGGGCTCCCGCGCCGGGGGGGCGTGCGGCCTCGCCGTCGACATCGGGGGGGCCCCGTCGCCGGCGGGCCCTCGGATCCCGGCACATGGTGCCGCCGCTTCCGAGCCGCGGCTCCGCCCTCCTCCCGCGCGGGCCCTCCTCCCTCTCGAAGAAGTAAAACGACGCGAAGATCGGGACAAAATCGGATCGGGATAACTCGAAATCTCTGAGACTCGGCGGGTTTGGAGGATGTATTGGGCGCCGCGGCCGCTCCAGAGCGTTCCGGAACGCTCTGAGAACGCTCCGGAACGCTCTGGAGCGATTTATCCCGATCCTAGCCCTGTTTTAAGAAGAGGACAAGCCAGAAGCATAAACTTTTTGGCGCTCCGCGCGGACTTCTTGGACCCGCGCTGGGCCCCCCCCCGGGCGGCGCCTCCAGCGCCGCCCCTGGCGCGCTCCGCGCGCCAGAGAGAGGGGTCCAGCGCAGATCCAAGAACATGTTAGAAACAACAAAAAAAAAAAAAAAAAAAAAAACATCCGCGCCGAGCGCAACAAGTTCATGTGTAAAGTGTTTTTCCGTCTTCTACCCTCGGCGCTCCCCCTCAGGTCTCCGATGCTCGCGAGCTTCAGGATGCAGAGGGCGCCGGCTCAGAGGATCGAAGAGAAACAAGTTGCATAAACAGGATGATTCGGAGGCCCGCGCGGATGTTTTTGGGTCGGCGCTAGACCCCCATCCTTGGCGCGCGGAGCGCGCCAGTAGGGGGCCACATGCGAGTCCTACCCCTACCCCCCACGATTTCTGAGGGGGAGGGTGGGGTTCACTTCGTTCGGGAGCTCCCGAGCGAAGTGAACCGCACCCTCCCCCTCTCAGAAATCGTGGGGGGCAGGGGTAGGACTCGCATGTGGCCCCTCAGCCAGGGGCGCCGATCCAAGAAATCTGTGCGGAGCTCCGGAGTTATTGTTTGTCTTTTGATGCTTCGCGAGAGTTATGTTGCTCCCATCGTACTTAGGGCCACATCCCAGAAATCATTTCGAGCACCCACAAAAGTATCGAGACAGTGTCGAACGTGCATCTCCTCCCAGGGCCCGACACGTGCACGCCCTCGAATTTCGGTATTTTCTTGGTGATCGAAACTCTTTCTGGTGATCAAGGCTAAAGTAGGCTGGAACATCATAGCGCGAGAGGAGGAGACCGAGGACTCGGTGGACTCGGACGGCGCGCCCCCGAGCGCCGAGACGCCTGGAGACGAGCTGCCAGAGCCCCACGTGCGCGCGGTCCTCATCGAGGGGAACGAAGAATTACATAAACATAAAGACTCGGAGGTCCGCGCGGATTTCTCGCATCGGCGCTGGGGCCCCCTGGCGGCTCCTCCGGCGTCGCCCCCTGGCGCGCTCCGCGCGGCGCCAGGGAGGGGGGTCCAGCGCCGATCCGAGAAATCCGCGCGGACCTCCGAGTCTTTATGCTCATGTCAGTGTTTGTTCCCCTACTCCTCCACCACGTGATGCCCGAGGAGCCGAGGAGCAAAGCGCGCGGCACCTGGACCGCCAACCGCCCGGGGGTTCGCGCGGGTTGCCCTGTGGTTCCCGGGTGGGGTCTTGCGGGAGGGGGCCCGGGAAGCAGAGATACACGGACACAGAGAATGGTCGAGTTCTTCGGTAGCAGATCACGGGAGCCTCGTGTCCCTTCTTCATTCCGTCGACTAGCGTCGACTGGCGTCTGGGAGTCGACGAGGTAGCGCCAACTTGGCGTCGGCTATCGGCGATTAGCGTCGATTTCGCGTCGGTTTGCGTCGATTCAGGGTCGACCAGCACCGTTTCGCAAGAGCCGACCAGAGGGTATGGGAGGCTCCCTTGAGTTGCCACCGAAGGTTCCCATGAAACGATGGAACAGATGGCACGTGCAGGAGGAGACGACCACCCAGAACATGCGCAAAAATGCAGGGGGGATCCTGGGATCTGTGCCTGGGTATTTGTGTGTGTGTGTCTGTGTGTCTGTGTGTCTGTGTGTCTGTGTGTCTGTGTGCCTGTGCCTGTGCCTGTGTCTGTGTCTGTGTCTGTGTCTGTGTCTGTGCGTGCGTGCGTGCGTGCGTGTGTTTGTGTTTGTGTGTGTTTGTGTGTGTTGTGTGTGTGTGCGTTTGTGTGTGTTTGTGTGTGTGTGTTTGTGTGTGTGTGTGTGTGTTTGTGTGTGTGTGTTTGTGTGTGTGTGTTGTGTGTGTGTGTTTGTGTGTGTGTGTTTGTGTGTGCTTGTGTGTGCTTGTGTGTGCTTGTATGTGTGCTTGTGTGTGCTTGTGCTTGTGTGTGTGTTTGTGCTTGTGGTTGTGTTTGTGTTTGTGTGTTTGTGTTTGTGTTTGTGTTTGTGTTTGTGTGTGTGTTTGTGTTTGTGTGTGTTTGTGTTTGTGTTGTGTGTTTGTGTGTGTTGTGTGTGTGTGCGTTTGTGTGTGTTTGTGTGTGTGTGTTTGTGTGTGTGTGTTTTTTTTGTGTGTGTGTGTGTGTTTGTGTGTGTGTGTTTTTGTGTGTGTGTTTGTGTGTGTGCTTATATGTGTGCTTGTGTGTGCTTGTGCTTGTGCTTGTGCTTGTGCTTGTGTTTGTGTTTGTGTTTGTGTGTGTTTGTGTTTGTGTTTGTGTTTGTGTTTGTGTGTGTGTTTGTGTTTGTGTGTGTTTGTGTTTGTGTGTGTGTTTGTGTGTGTGTGTTTGTGTGTGTGTTTGTGTGTGTGTTTGTTTGTGTTTATGTTTGTGCTTGTGCTTGTGCTTGTGCTTGTGCTTGTGCTTGTGCTTGTGCCTGTGCTTGTGCTTGTGCGTGTGCGTGTGCTTGTGTTTGAGTTTGTGATTATGTCTGTGTCTGTGTCTGTGTCTGTGTCTGTGTCTGTGTGTCTATGTGTCTGTGTGTGTGTCCCTGGGCCCCAGTTCAGGGAAGTGATCGTTTTTACTCATTGTTTCGCCGATCGGCGCGGGCCGTTGCACCCCCCCCCTCTCCCCCCCTCTTTGAGTGGATCTTGGCTGTGTTTTTGGCGCGCATTTCTTGCAACCAGTCACACTACAGCAGAGGTCTGGAGCCAGACCCCCCCCATCCCCCTCCCTTGCCGCCCAGCGTCGAGACGCTGAACAAAACAAAAAGAACAATGACAACAACGACAACAACGACGACAACAACAACAGCAGCAACCACAGCAACCACGACAACAACGACAACAGCAACGACAACCACAACAACAACAGCAACCACAACAACAACGACAACAACGACAACAGCAACGACAACCACAACAGCAACAGCAACAGCAACAACAACAACAGCAGCAACAACAACAACACCAACAACAACAGCAACAAACGAAAAACACGCTCACGAAGGGGGCCCCTGGGGCCGAGGCGCTCCGGCTCTGCCCGAGGCCCCTCGCCGCTCGGCGGGCCGACCCCTCGGAGGGCCCCGCCCCTGCGCCGCCGAGGACTTCCTCCCGTCGGCGGCGAGCTCTGCCCAACCCTCTCGGGGCGGACCACATGACGCCTCCTCCTCCTCCTCCTCCTCCTCCTCCTCCTCCTCCTCCTCCTCCTCCTCCTCCTCCTCCTCCCTCCTCCTCCTCCTCCTCCTCCTCCTCTCCCCTCTCTCCCCCTCCCCCTCCCCCTCCTCCTCCTCCTCCTCCTCCTCCTCCTCCTCCTCCTCCTCCTCCTCCTCCTCCTCCTCCTCCTCCTCCTCCTGAAAAAATCATGACGAGAGGTTTCTCTACATTTTCGGCCCCTGGAGGCCCTCGCCAAGCCTCGGGACCGTCAGAAAACGACTCAGGAGGAGGAGCCAGTCCCAGGGAATCGGTCCAGACCTCCCTGGGGGTCGACGTCATGAAAATATCATGACGTCGGGGGTATGGGGCCTTTCAAGAATCATGACGGAAGGTTTCTCTCCATTTTCGGTTTCCGGGGGCCCTCCCCAGGCCTCAGGACCGTCAGAAAACGATTCGGGAGGAGAAGTTGGTCCCAGCCGGAGAATCGGTCCAGACCTCCCTGGGGGTCGACGCCATGAAAAAAGCATGGCGTCGGGTGTCTGGTGGGGGAAGTGAGAAGGGGAGAGGGCCTCCTCAGACGGCTCGGAAGCCCCCCGGCCCTCTGAGAGGTCTGGTGAGCCACTCCCCGAAGACGCGCAGGCAGTTTGATCAGGGAACCCGCGCCCCTGCCGCAGTGGCCGCCCGTCGCTCGCCGCCGAGTCTTGGACCCGCGCAGGGGCCCCCCCCAGGGGCGGCCCCCGCCGGGGCTGGGGGGGCCCGGCGCCGGTCCAAGACGCCCCCGCGGGCCTCCGAGCTGGTCGGGGCGGACGGGGCCGGAGGCTCGCGCCACGGCGCCGATGCGCGGGCGCTGTGCGGCTCGGTGTGGGGCCCGAGTGGCTGCACGCTGACGTCGCCGCCGCATCGCCGGTGCATCGCCGGTGCATGCATCGCCGGTGCATCGGCGATGCATCGGCGATGCCTCCTCCTCCTCCTCCTCCTCCTCCTCCTCCTCCTCTCCTCCTCTCCTCCTCTCCTCCTCCTCCTCCTCCCCCTCCTCCTCCTCCTCGTCCTCCTCCTCCTGATCTCCCGACCCCAACGACTCCGAGCCAGTCTGGGAGGCCTTTCTATACCCACCCCCCGCGGCGGCGCCTCAAGCGGGGAGAGGGGGAGTCCAGCGCCGATGTCCAAGGCTTGCGCGCCTCGGCTTCCGGGAAAGGTTTTCTTCTTCGGGAGGGGGGAGGCGCGCCGCGCAGGCGCAAAGAGTCGCCGCTTCCCGGGGGAGGTTCTGGGAGGTATGGGGCGCGGAGGGGAAGGCGGCCACCCAGGAAATGTTCCAGGCATCCTAGATGGGGTCGGAGTGGATGGGGTCGGAAGCTAGCGCCGCATGGCCGACGCATCGTCGATACGGCTCGATGCGCAGCCCGATTTGCTTCACGTCGACGTCGCCGATGCATCGGCGACGTCGACGATGCGTCGCCGGTGCATCGCCGATGCATCGCCGGTGCATCGCCGATGTATCGCCGATGTATCGCCGATGCGTCGCGATCCTCCGACCCCATCTGCTCCGACCCCCTCCAGGAGGCCTCTAAATGTGGGGAATGCTGGGGATCCGGGGGTCCGTGCCTATTTCTTGATTCTTAGGCTTACGCCACACCGCCGACCCCTTTGTCTTTCTTGGGGGGGTCCTGGGGGTCCGTGGGGCACGTTGGGGGCGTCTTGGGGCCGAAGGGTCGAAGCGTCTCTTCCGGTTTGGGAGCCGATGGGGCCGTTTTAGGGCGGTCTTGGAGGCATCTTGGAGGGTCTTCCGCGCTGTGAAGGTCGAGCCATAGAATATCGAAGCCGATGTGGGGGCCTCTTGGGGCCCCTTGGGGCCTCTTGGAGGGGTCTCGTGGGGGCCTTTTTGGGGGGCGTCTGGACGCTTTTTGGGAGCCTCTTATGGCCTCCTGGGAGCCTCTAGGGGCGGACGGCTAGAATGTTCGTTTCGTGGTCCCCCTTTCGGGCCCCTCTTGGGGCCGTCTTTGAGCTGCTTTTACCTAACAGCGAAGACTGATAGGTTTCTAGTGGGGTCAAAAGAGAGCAGCAGATCACTCCACAGGGGGGTCCGGGCAGGTGTTGGGAGTTGCCGGGCGGGTTGTGTCCACCTCGTTTTTCACCAACAGTCACACACTTCGTGCTCTTCGACTTCCCAGAACTCCATTCCCAGGCTCATTCTGAATAACCAGATGCAACAGTCACACACTTCGTGCTCTTCGAGATCCCAGAACGCCATTCCCGGGCCACCTTTAGAATAACCGGATGCAACAGTCACACACTTCGTGCTCTTCGACTTCCCAGAACTCCATTCCCGGGCCACATTTTGAATGCCCGGAGCCAACTGTAGGCCACTTCGTGCTCTTCGAGTTCCCAGAACTCCATTCCCGGGCCACATTTTGAATGCCCGGAGCCAACTGTAGGCCACTTCGTGCTCTTCGAGTTCCCAGAACTCCATTCCCGGGCCACATTTTGAATGCCCGGAGCCAACTGTAGGCCACTTCGTGCTCTTCGAGTTCCCAGAACTCCATTCCCGGGCCACATTTTGAATGCCCGTAGCCAACTGTAGGCAACTTCGTGCTCTTCGACTTCCCAGAACTCCCATTCCTGGGCCACATTTTCAGCAGGGGCAAGAGCACGACGAGGAGGAGGACGAGCAAGACCAGGAGGACGAGGACGAGCAGGAGCAGGACGAGGAGCAGGAGGAGCAGGAGAAGAAGGACGAGCAGGAGGAGGAGGAGGACGAGCAGGAGGAGGAGGACGACCAGGAGGAGGAGGACGACCAGGAAGAGGAGGAGGAGGAGGAGGAGGAGGGGAGGGGGAGGACTACCAGGAGGAGGAGGAGGAGGAGGAGGAGGAGGAGGAGGAGGAAGAGGAGGAGGAGGACGAGGAGGAGGAGGAGGAGGAGGAGGAGGACGAGGAGGAGGAGGGGGGGGAGAGCACCAGGAGGAGGAGAACGAGGACCACCAGGAGGAGGAGGAGGAGGAGGAGGAGGAGGAGGAGGAGGAGGAGGAGGGAGGAGGAGGAGCAAGACGAGGAGGACGAGAACGAGGACGACCAGGAAGAGGAGGAGGAGAGGAGGAGGAGGAGGGGAGGGGGACTACCAGGAGGAGGAGGAGGAGGAGGAGGAGGAGGAGGAGGAGGAGGAGGACGAGGAGGAGGAGGAGGAGGAGGACGAGGAGGAGGAGGGGGGGGGAGAGCACCAGGAGGAGGAGAACGAGGACCACCAGGAGGAGGAGGAGGAGGAGGAGGAGGAGGAGGAGGAGGAGGAGGAGAGAGCACCAGGAGGAGGAGGACGAGCAAGACGAGGAGGACGAGAACGAGGACGAGCAGGAGGAAGAGGAGGAGGAGGAGGAGGAGGAGGAGGAGCAGGAGAAAGAGGAGGAGGAGGAGGAGGAGGCAGGCTGAGGCTGAGGCTGTGACTGCGACTGCCGTTGCCGTTGCGACTGTCATCGCGAATGCGACTACGACTGCGAGAACAGCAGAATTCGACAACTGGATTTTCAACTGAATCTTAAGGGGAATGCTTTCAGATATGCTTCTACACATCGCTGTTAGGTTGCTTTGCCGGGATAATTGGTTGTTATGGGCGCCTCTTGTGCCGTGTTGGGGGCTTTAAGCGGAAAAGAAGGGCGGCGACGGACTGGCGCCGTCGTGCGAATCCTCTCGGGGGCCTGCGGGAGGGAGTTAGGATGCTTCTGGGGAGCTGTTTGGGGGCCTCTTGGGGCCTCTTTTGGACTTCTAGGGGGCCTCTTGGGCGCCTCTTGGGGCCTCTTGGGGGCCCCTTGGGGCCTCCTGGGTGCCTTTTGGGGCGGAAAGCTAGAATTTTAGGTTCGTGGTCCCCGTCTGGAGCCTTTCTTGGGGGCCTCTTGGGGCCCTCTTGAGCTGTCTTGAGGCCCTCTTGGGCCGTCTTGAGGCCCTCTTGGGCCGTCTTGGGGCTCACTTGGGGGCCTCTTGGGTCGTCCTGGGGCGTTCTTGGGGAACGCTTGCGCCGTCCTGGAGCGTCGGAAGCCGAGAAAAGCGAGACGGCTAAAAACTTAGAAAAACAAATGAAAAGCAATGATTTTGGCCTCTTGGGGCCCTCTTGGGAGGCCTCTTGGAAGCCTCTTCGGGCGTCTTGGCGGCATCTTGGGCCGTCTGAAGGCAATCTTCACCGTCTTCGAACGATTTTTCGGCGACTCGGGGCCCTCTTGGACCGTCTTCAGGGCTTCTTGGGAGCCTCTTGCCTCGTTTTGGGCCCCCCCACCAGACTTTCTGGAACGGATGACCCCCCCGGCCCGCGCCGGGGAGGCCCAGACCGGCCGGCCGGGCACAGCCCCCCCCTCCAAATCGACCGGACCAGGCCCCCAGGGGAGGGGTTTGGGGAGGGGGAAGAATCTCACCCGCCGACGGCGGACTTCTGTGTGGCCGTGCAGCGCTGCCTGTGCAGTGCTGAGACGCTTCTCGCCTCCCGGAGGAGGCCGTCCTCGCCCTGGAGCCCCCGGAGAGGCGCGGCCGGGCCTGGCGGGAGAACCTGCGGCGGAGGCACCTGCACTTCTTCGACACGTACGTCGGCGCTGCCGCGGCCCTGTACGAGGCTCCACGAACTCGGCATCGCTCGGACGCGTGCATGTTCTCGGCGAGGGCCAGCGAATGAGCCTCCTGGATCCGTCGGGCAGCAGGAGCGCGCACGAAGCTGCAAGACGAACGGGGCACGGACGTCCGAGCGACGGCAAGAGAACGATACTCCAGATGTCGTAATAAAAGGGAGGGGGTCTGGACCCTCCAAGACAAGCCATTTCAGACCTCCCCCGTGGGCGAACCCTCCAAAACATCGTCCCCAGACCCCCCAGGCCCTCCAAGATAGCCTGGAAGAGCCCCCCCCCCGAAATGAGACCCCCCTCCCTTTATTACGAAATCTGGAGCACACGGCACAACAGCGCAGGCACTCGGCCGGTCCGCCCGGACGTCTCGGATTCGCGCCGGGGCCCCCTCCTCGGCGCGCCGGGGGCGGCGCTGCGGGCGCCGACGGGGGGGGGCCGGCGCAGGCCCGAGGCACGCCGCGCGCAGCGCCGGAAGTCTGTGCTTTTGTGCCGTGCCGTCGTCCTCCTCTCGGGTCGGGCGAAAGGGGGGGTTTGGGAAAGGGGGGGTTACGAAATCTGCTGCATGCAGCTGGTTTCGGCCCCACCGAGGGGCCCATTCCTCGATACATAGCCGCCGGGAAAATCAGCTACGTGAGCTGATTCTCAATCCCCCCCTTTGCTATCCCCCCCTTTCGCCCGACCCGATCCTCCATGAGGCGGACTCCGGCCTGATCTCCGCGCAGTGCCTGCGCGACGTGGCCGACGACGCGGCGCGCAACTTCGAGGCCGACGTCAGCTACCACGAGCATCAGAAGGCCGGGTTCAAGTGGGGCCCGTTCGAGGACAAGCTGCGCAGCGACCTCGGGAGGGCCAGCGAGCTTCTGGTGGCTGCTGGCGTGGCGACGGTCCAGGAGCTCTCGGATACCACAACGCTCGCGAGGACGGTCATGAGGTCGAACTCCAGACAGGCCTGCGGTTGCGCGCCCGTCGACGAAGAGTCCAGGGACAGCAGGGAGAGCGAGGGCAGCGAGGAGAGCATGTTGCTGGAGGAGTGAGGTGCGCTCGCACGCGCGGGGGTGCCGCGCATGTACCGTATGGAGGCTGCCGGGGGGAAAATCTGGGCTCCGAGCGACACGCGTCGAGGAACAATGCTTAAACAGAGTTTGTGAGGTCTGCGGAGTTCTTGGATCGGCGCTGGAGCCCCCTGGCGGCACCTCTTTCGCGCCCCTGGCGCGCTCCGCGCGCATGGAAGGGGGGTCCAGCGCAGGCCCAGGAATTCAGCGCAGAATTCAGAAATGCTGTGTATTTGTGTTTGTTGCTCTTCGAATACGGCATACGAGTATGGAGACCATTTCTTTATTGCTTGGGGCATGACGGGCGTCATGGCCCCTGCCCCCTCCCCCCCTATGACATAGCGCTCCCCCCCCAGTGCGCTCCGGGCACTGCCGCCGTGCGTATTGGGATCCGCGTAGGAATCCGCATAGGAGTCCGGTCCGCAGTCGTCGTCGTCGACGTCGTCGTCGTCGTCGCTCGTGGCTCGTGGCTCATCGTCGTCGTGCGCGCGGACGCAGCTGGAGCCTATTTTTTGATTCCGGGCCGATGACGGCAATCCTCTTGGGGGGGGTTAGAAGGGGGTCGATGACGTCACGCTTCGCGCCGGCGGCGCCTGGGAATGCTTAGGAATGACGGAGGACGGGTGGCACCAGCATGTAGGTGATCTGCACCAGAACGTTTGTGTACAACTCAGTGCCTGCGTGCACCACAGCGCCTGTGTACACCACACCGCCTATGTACACCACAGCAGCCGCGTGCAACACAGCGTCAGTTTGTGTCACCGCGCGCGCGGGAACAACAGCTCTTGTGTACACGTTAGCGCCTGCGTACACCACATCAGCCGTGTGCAACACAGCAGTGTACACCGCAATGCCTGCGTGCATTGCAGTGCCTGTGTACACCACGGCGCTTGTGTGCACCACAGCAACCGTGTGCAACACAGCACCACTGTTGTACGTAGAATGTTAGAAGGAACCATTATGACACAATGGAGCGCTTGTGGATTCCACCGAAAACACCAAACAATAATCCTTATGGACAAGAAAGCGCCAGGGGAATCTACGGGTCCTTCCGAGTTCACCCGCATCACCGTAAGTCTTCCCATCTGCGTCCAATAGGGTCCAGCTAAATTGGCCGTCCGAGAACCAAGTGGGCCGATTCAACAGACCATTCTGCGGTGCACGCTGAGTTGCGCGCGTGCGCTGTAGCGCCAACCCGCACGACAGGGGGCAAGGAGGAGGGGGAGGAGGAGGAGGAGGAGGAGGAGGAGGAAGAAAAAAAGGAGGAGGAGGAGGTGGAAGTGGAGGAGAAGGGAAGAAGGAAAAACGTCGCATTGCATTATCAGCACTTTCCTGGCGTGGCGCTTCCGCAGCAGATCCTCAGGCACAGGCTCCTTCTACCGGTCCTATGCATGCAGGCAGCGTGGTGTACAATAGCGCTGCGTTGCACGCGGATGCTGTGGTGTAGACAGGCGCTGTGGCGTGCACAGGCGCCGCGGTGCACGCAAGCGTTGTGGTGTACACAGGCGCTGTGTTGCACATGGTTGCCTCCGGTGTGCACATGTACACCAGCGTTGTACGCGAGCACTGCAGTGTACACAGGCGCTGCGTTACACACGGTTGTTGCGATGTACGCAGGCGCTGTGGTGTACATGCGCGCTGTGGTGCACGCGAGCGTTGCGGCGTACACAGGCGCAGGGGGGCAGTTCGCCACCTACACGCTGCTCGCGTCGTCGTCGTCGTCGTCGTTGTCGTCGTCGTCGCTTGTCGCTCGTCGCGTCGTGCGCGCGGGCGCGGCTGTGGTGCCGGAGCCACACGGCGGGGGGGGGCGTTACGTCATACCCCCCCGCTCCCCCCCCCATGACGCCCGTCATCGCCGAACACAAAGAAACGTTCTCATGCCGTGACGATGCAGTCTGACAGGGGCGGTTGAAATCAAGACCTGCGGCGGAGGGGAGTGCATTGATGCATCGCAGGGGAGCGTACCACGTTCGGTTGTCTTCTTCGCATATGTCCTGCCGTCGTTGTGTAATGTAATGCCTCGTGATCTAACTAGTTGACGCCATGCCATGTCGCTTACATTCATGATGTGAACCGGAGGATTCGTTTTAAGGAGAAGATGGCCGCGACCCTGCACCATGTTTGCCTTCCGACTCTTTCGACCTTTTGGGATTCTGTGGGGGCAAACTTTGTCGCCGCCTGGACGTTGATAGCCAGTCTAAGAGCGGTTTTGGAGGCCAGATGTGGGCCACAGCGGTCTCTTGGCCCGTACGAGGGCCCTTCTAGCTACTCCGAAAACCCTCCCGGAGGCATCTGGAGCCCACCGCGTGCTCATTGTGAACCCCAGATTGGCTTGGCATCGCTCGGACGTGTGCTTTTCTTCCTCGGCGAGGAGCATCCTGGAGCATCGAGCAAAACAAACATCCTGGAGCATCGAGGAGCATCCTGGAGCATCGAGCATCCTGGAGCATCGAAGAGCATCCTGGAGCATCGAGGAGCACCCTGGAGCAGCGAGCATATAAAAGACGCGCGAAATGGAAGCATGCACGGGAAACGGACGTGCGAGCGATATGGCGAGGTGAGGAGTGCCGCAGCATCAGCAGGTGTTGATCGTGGTTGGCCTTCAGTCGGGCATGTCCCTCCACAGGGGGAGCATCCAAACACTGTCAAAAAATGGCATGGGGACGATTTGTCTGCCATCTTGTAAATTTGAGTTCCAGCATTTTGCGGCTATTTTGTGATTCTTCTTCCAACATCCGCCTGCCTGTAGAAGGACATGCCCGACCTGAAGTTGGCCACGGGGGCCGGCCGGCCCTCCTCGGGGGCACGGGGGCCAGCGTGGCCCCCGCCGTGGCCTGCCTTGGGGCCACCGATGGCGGAGCCCAGGCCCCCTCGCGACGTGACAACATCACGACGGGAGGCTTCTCGCTATCTTCGGCCTCCGGGGGCCCTCACTGGCAGAGCTCGTCTCGATTCCTCCGATCCGATTCGGTCCGATTTCGATGGATTCCGATTCCGATTCGATTCGACATCGGATGCCGATTCGGGATCCGCTTTCTCAATGGAGGCCTACTAGCCTGCCGGTTTCTGCCGACTCCATTTTTCCAGATTCGGCTGCCGATTTCCGCCGACCCGATTCATTTCGATCGCCGATGCGACTAATCGATTCGATTCTTGGCTCTCCTGCACAGGGCCCCGGGACCGTCAAAAAACAACTCAGGATGAAGCATCGGTCGCCGGGAAGGGGTCGAGAGCTCGTGGGGGTCCACGCCGTGACAAGATCTCGACGTCGGAGGTTTGGGCCATGGGCCATTTGGCGGTCTGGGGAGCGGCAGGAGCCCTGTTCAGCACGTCCGGTGCTGCGCGTTCGGCCAGTGTGGAGAGCCTCTGAGGGACAGGCCTGGGCCTTGGCATCGCTCGGACGTGTGCATTTTTTTCTCGGCGAGGACCCTCGAGGAGCATCCTTGATCATTTGGCGAAAAAAAACCACGCACGAAACCGAAAAAAACACATGGAATGGACGTCCGAGCGATGGCGAGCCTGGCCCCGAGGAGCCCGTGGGCTCCCCCCTCCCCTCCCCTCTCTGCGGAACACTGTCAACGTCCGGAAGCCTTGGCACTGCAGTCTGCTTCCCAGCCACTTCCCAGGCCAGCCACAACAGGGGGAGCTGTGGTCCTTACCCCCCTGGGGGACCCATCAATTTCGACACCCCTCTCGAGAGATCGTCGATGCGATGGGTCCCCCCAGGAGGGTAAGGACCACAGCTCCCCCAGTTATGGCTGGTCGGCTTCCCCGCAGCATGGACAAGATCCCAGAGCCCCTCCCCAAGGCAGCAGACGCAGCCACCCAAGCAGTGCTTGCATTCTTGGGCTCTTACTTGCGTTTCGGTTGCGTGTTCGAGTTTTCGCCCAGTGCCTGCACGGCCCGAATCGTGCCCTCTCCGTGCGTTGGCTGGGTGGTCAGGGTTTTGTGAGCCGTCTAGGACTCCTGCCTCTTGGGCTGTCTTGGGGCCCTCCTGAGCCGTCTGGGGACCCCTTTAGGAGCCTCTTGGGGCGATCCCGGGAGCCTCCTGGGCCGTCTTGGAGCGTCGGAAGCCCGAGAAGACGAGATTTCAAAAATCTGTCGAACACAAATGGGGTATCAGTGATTTCAGCCTCTTGGGCGCCTTTGGGGGGGCCTTTGGAAGCGCTCTTGGAGCGTTTTGGGGGCCTCTTTGGGCCATATGGAGGAAGTTGTGGATCTTCTTATTTTCCCGCCTCCATCGCAACCCATACTGAATCACTCATACTCCCGATCGCTCACACTCCGACTCACTCACACGTATCTTCATTCATCCAAAGATACATGCAGACACAATCACACTCACTCGCTCAAATTCAGACTGACGCAACTTCAGAACTCTCATACTCATATTACGTGCACTAGGGCAATGCACATGTCCACTAATTCTCATACCGACTCGTACAACTACTATAATTCACCCGTACTCTGACCACTCAAACTTACCTCCATCAATATTCAGTTCAATCAAATTCATACTCACACTCAGTTCATTCATACTCTGAATTTCTTGTACCTGGACTCATACACTGAGACCCACTCGCACGCGCACCCACTCACATCCAGAACTCGCCGCGATGCAGTAGGCATAGCACTCGGGCACCCCAAGGGGGCGTGCCAGGAGAAAGGATCGGATCCCAACGGGACGGGTCAGATTACAACAGACTGGGTCAGACGACCCCGACGGGTCAGAAAACCGGAACGGCTCAGATCCCAACGAATATCATTCAAGTTTTCCAGCGCTTAAAGGGCGCCTCTTGGTCGCCTCCTCCGCTTCGTGACGGATCATTTCGGCTTCGCTTGAGTTTCCTGAAGCATTCTTGTGGATCTTGAAGATTATTGAGGACTCCTGGTGGATTTCTGAGGATGAAGGATTCCTGAAGGATTCTTGAAGGATCCCTGAAGAATTTCTCAAGGATTCTTGCAGGATTCCTGAAGGTTTT